GGGCCTCAGCATGCTGAATTAGGATCCTCTTCAATAAACTCCCTCCTGCTCATTGCATGAAGCTGGTCTCTTGTGGTCTCTTCCTCCGACGTTTCACCGGACCCTTACAGTATCTGAGATAGGTCATAACCAGGCCACCCCTGTTCCCAAGGTGGGCAGCTATCAGAGGGAACACTTGTGACTCCAGTATTGGGAAAAAAAACATAAGCAACCACTGCCTTTGGTGAAACTGCCCAGGAGCAGGAGCACGAGATACCTGCAAGTATCTTCTGACACTTTACCTCATCCATTCATTAACTAGAACTGTGGCTACAGAATTGGCAGTGGCAATATCTGAAAACAGAGAGTGTGCCTGTGTCTGAGAGAAGCAGGGTCAAATTGAAGGGAATAAAATTCTCTCAGATTACTGATCTGTTTCCTGGCCTGGCTTGCAGCTTTCTTCAAGCATGGAGCATCCTAGGCATGAAATAATTATACACAGATTATTTGAAAGAGTTAACTAAATATCTATAGGACAAAGTCTGTCTAAACCCCGTGGGGGTTTAAATGGCAGTGACCATTCTATAGAATGACTAGGAATGCTATGTATAGACCCTGGACTGTGAAGAAGTGACACTTTCCTGCAGCCTCTTAGTACTGAACTCTAACCAATGGCTTGGATTTTATTTCTAAGAGACATCACTTGACCCCATGCAGGGCCAGCCCAGTCAGAAGGAGGGACAGAAATAATGGAATAAGGTGAAGAATGATGTCACCCTCAGCTTCCAGCCCTAAAAGGGGGAAGGTACAAAGAGGACAAAGAAATAACTATCTTCCCACTTTCAAAGAGGACAGGAAATCAAGAAGAGATAAAATAAACAGGGGAGAGCTCTGTGCAGGTGAAGGTTAGGAAACTGGATAAGGATACAGAGAGCACTGATGTGTCCATTCCCAGAACCCAGGCATTATCTATCTTGATAAGTAAGCAGAAAATGAATAAGTGATAAAAGAGCATACCCATTTACAGTGAATGAATCCTTGTCAGGCTTTGTAGAAGGCTTACTAATGAGTTTAAAAAATGAATAAAGGGGAAAAAATAACACCAATCACCACATTCTTGTATGCACATTTTTTTTCCTTCAATTGTGAGATGAAGTAGACTCAAAGAAAACTGCAGGAGAAGCAAAGTAATAATCAAAGGGAACATCTCAGAAGTGTCTATAAATCCCTAAGTCTGAGTTAAGGTGAAACTTGCAGTGTCAGCCAGGTAAACATATATATTGTGTGTGTATGTGTGTGTGTGTTATTGTTGTCAGGGTGGA